AGCTCACTCCTAAACGCATTATTGTGTTCCACGCGCAGGGCATTGATTGTCTTTTGAGTGGGCAGAGGTTGTCAAGCTTTGAAATTTGCCTTGCCCTGTTTTTTTTACTACAGAAAGTCTTCAAATCGGCTTTGAAATGGAATTAAAGTCTACATTATTTTAGCTGGTGGCTCTTCTAATGAATACAAACGAACGGAAGTTAGGCCTATGTAATAAAAATATCTTTCGTGTAATTACACGACACGACACGAGTGATAATTATCACTTCCTTATTTTATACAGGATATACCGAACCTAATGTGATTTTGCGAATTTCTAAACAACATCTATTGCAATTTGGTTAGTTTATTAGTTAAAAGAATATTAATGTTAATGAATGATATATCAAAGAGGACAATAGCACATGGTTATTTGTACAATATGAATAACTTCGTAGAACTGTAGTAATGTCGTCGTACACAACAACTTTTGTTCCATCATTTTTGATAATTCAGATTTTACTTTCTAACAAAAATAAAAATAATTAGTGATAACTCTGTGCGGTAACAAAAAACAACGCAAAACGCAGGATATGTAGCTTTATTGTTAATTGTGTAACTCGAGCTGTGATTCTCGCCCATGATCGAGAATTCCTGCACGTTCGCGAGAAGTGGCGTGAAGGCAGGCGCAGTGTGACGTCAAACGTCGATGAAATATTAAAACCTCAAGACACGATCGCTGGAATACTTAAGTATTCCAGCGCGCGCTTTCTCGTGCGTTTCTCGCGTTGCGCAGCTTCTGCCGCAATGTAAATTGAGCGTACGGGTGGCATGGCAGCGCGGGCGGCTGCAGTCGTAGGGGCTAGTTTTACTTCAGAGCCGCCGACGCCGGCCGCGTCAATGAGTATGGTACAGGCCACAAGCCTGTATGTATGTATCTTAGTTTTTGCATCTTGGACTTGCCTGAGAGCCCTGTTGGTGTCCTTGTAAAGGTTTATCATTTCTTGATGTATTAGGAACTGTTTATTGTAGCTTCATAGGTATGTGTACCGACAATTTTCCCGTACAATTTTATGGTTCTTCGTTATAATACACACTTACGAAATTTTGACATTTAAGCAATATAAATTTACTAGAGGAATGGACGTCCTTTCGCTTCGAGAGTTTTGTAAGGAGTGATGATTTTATTATAAAATATAAGTGCACATTTGACCTCCATCTCACCTGATGGAAAGTGACGATGAGGTCGACGATGGAGCATGCTCACCTAAGTAATGTCTATTCAGTCTCGCCTTGAAAATGCCCAAGTTATAACGTTCAGGGAACAAGTCTGCAGGCAGAGAATTCCACTCCAAAGCCGTTCGTCATATAAACGTGGAATCGTAACGCTTCGTGCGAATCTTTGGAATATCCACAACATAGGGGTGGCACCCAAGCCTACGCCTAGTCCCCCGGTGATGGAAAGGGGAAGGCGGAATTATAATACAATACAATATGCTTTATTTCTCTCAATAAGGTTAGTTACAGTGTATGAATACATTAAAAATACAATGATTAATTACTAAAAATAAAATAACAAATAACAAGTGCCTTAGTGAGAACTGGAGTCTATACTAGGTTGGAAACCTGTGTTACAGATAACCATGCTCACTCCCTCTTAGTTCAATAGAAAACGTGACATAAACTTAATATAAAAATACAAATAAAGCATAGGCTATCTAGTGTAAAAATGTGTGTGTGTGTGTGTGTGTGTGTGTGTGTGTGTGTGTGTGTGTGTGT